CTGAAATGTGGCGTTCAGAACTGGACACAATACTCCAGTTGAGGCCTAAACAGCACAGAGTAGCGCGGAAGAATTACGTCGTGTGTCTTGCTTACAACACTCCTGCTAGTTGTACATCCCAGAATGATGTTTGCTTTTTTTGCAACAGCATTACACTGTTGACTCTCATTTCGCGTGTGGTCCACTGTGACTCCCAGATCCCTTTCCGCAGTATTGCTTCCTAAGCAGTCTTCCCCCATTTTGTATGTGTGCAACTGATTGTTCCTATGTGGAGTACTTTGCATTTGTCCTTATTGAATTCTCTAGTTTGTCCAAATCATTTTGAATTTTAATCCTGTCCTCCAAAGCATTTGCAATCCCTCCCAGCATGGTATCGTCCACAAACTTTATAAGTGTACTCTCTATGTCATTATCTAAATAATTGATGAAGATAGTGAACAGATCAGGACCCCGAACTGATCCTTGCGGGACCCCACTTATTATGCCCTTCCAGCTTGACTGTGAACCACTGACAAATACGCTCTAGGAATGGTTTTCCAACCAGTTATGCACCCACCTTATAGTAGCTCCATCTAGGTTGTATTTCCCTAGTTTTGTTTATGAGAAGCTCATGAGAGACAGTATCAAAAGCCATACTAAAGTCAAGATGTACCACATCTACTGCTTCCTGCCCCCCCATCCACAAGGCTTGCAACCCTGTCAAAGAAAGCTATTAGGTTCGTTTGACATGATTTGTTCTTGACAAATCCATGCTGACTGTTACTTATCACCTTATTATCTTCTAGGCTTGCAAATTGATTGCTTTATTATTTGCTCCATTATCTTTCTGGGTATAGAAGTTAAGCTGACTGGTCTGTAATTCCCTGGGTTGTCCTTATTTCCCTTTTTATAGATGGGCACTATATTTGCCCTTTTCCAGGCCTCTGGAATCTCTCCCGTCTTCCATGACTTTTTGAATATAATCGCTAATGGCTCAGATATCTCCTCAGTCAGCTCCTTGAGTATTCTAGGATGTTTTTCATCAGGCCCTGGTAAGTTGAAGACATCTAACTTGTCTAAGTAATTCCTAACTTGTTCTTTCATTATTTTAGCCTCTGATCCTACCTCATTTTCATTGTTAGATGTCTGATCGCTACTATTTTCTCACAGGGTGGCACCTTTTGGGTAGTGTGTGCATGCCCTGCTTCTGCGGTTAGTGGAATGAGATTCAGTATCTGTCTCTGCTAAGGGGAATCATTAGATCTGAAGAAGCCTGCTTAAAAGGGTAGCAAGACATTTCCTCAGTAGCATTTGGTCACTAAGACCCTATGGGCTGCGCTCACTGTTTTGTCACTTTTGAAATCTCAAATCAATGCTTGTGAGAGTGAATTCAATGTCAGTTTAACACAAATATTAACTCCCAAGGGAAACACACACCTAATATATAATATATATTTAAATGTTTATTGACACGAACTATTGGAAGGCATGAGAATGCAGGAAAGATCAAAGGTCTCAGGGCAAATGGCCAACATGGTTGGATTTAAATGCCGGCCACAAAACATGTCATGCTCCCTGCAAAGAAACAGACCTATTACAATGATCAACCTAATAGACTAGGAATCCATTAGAAGAACACAGTTTAGTTTGCAGCAAGCTTAGACACTAAAACAGGTTCCTTAGCGCGCCTGTCTAGCTTTCCAACTCCTCCAAAGCCTGTTACAAATAGGTTAAGCTCAGTGCTTTATTAATATTTTATAAAACTTTGAATTTATCACTAGGGAAACCTGGGGTGAAGTATCTCTGAGAGCAAAGCTATTATTAAAGCCGAAAGCCATTCCACCAACCTGCTTGTATGCCCGCCACCTGATTCTCCGATCTTACCTGGGCTGCTACACGAGGTTCCTCTTCTCTCAAATCTGGACAGCCGAGGAATTTATACCTATTTGGACATCGTCTTGATTTACACCATCTCTGGAGCTGACAGTGCCGTTTCATAAACTTCTCAGTGAAACTCCCATGATCCATTGTGTACAATGGGCTGGTTTTAGGGAAGAGAGAGATGGGGAGATAAGAGTTATTTGCCTTGACGGGCACGAGGTATGAACGTTACTGAGCATGGCATGAGCCTCCCCTCTAGATCACAGGAGCATAGATAAAGATCTGTGATCAAAGATCCATTAGATCAAGTCCAGGCCCCTGCAAGGGCAAGCTAGATTGCCCTGACAGATGATGTATTACATGTTACACTGACACTCCATTTGATCTTAGTTCATGTTTATGGGCTACTCCATCCCACTATAAAGTACTCCAGGCATGGGCACTAGATCACTCCAAATTGCTGTAGGGGGGAGGGATAGCTCAGTGGTTTGGGCATTGGCCTGCTAAACCCAGGGTGGTGAGTTCAATCCTTGAGGTGGCCACTTAGGGATCTGGGGCAAAAATCTGTCTGGGGATTGGTCTTGCTTTGAGCAGGGGGTTGGACTAGATGATCTCCTGAGGTCCCTTCCAACCTAGATATTCTATGAAAACATACTTCAAGCCCTATCTGGACACATGCTTGAGGGAGAGAAAGGAATCCACTCCCATATCCATTCAGTCCTGGGTGTTCCTCAGCCTTTCTCTGCTTGGTCAGTGACTGGGGATGGGGAGGTATGTTATTGAGACTGAGTAGGACTTGCTGTCCTCAGTCATTGGATTCCATGCACTGCTCCATCCAAACGCAGCCCTGGGCTTGCTCTGCTGCGGCTGCCCTGCTCCTTTGTCGCTGGTTAATGAACCTGAGTTCTCTTCCTTCAAATGACAAGCTGATTTGTCACTGACGGAGCGTATACAAGTAGCATATGCACTGTTCTCCCATGGCGGCTCAGCAGTGGGCCAAAGCCGGTTGCTTAACGGAGGTGGTCTCAGTAGGGTAGGGTCGAGTTGTACTCAGTGTTTTGCCAATGGTCGCTTAAGACAGAAAGATGCTTAATAAAAATGGGCCATTTTACGGCCTTCACTCTAGCTTCACCTCTTCCATGTGTTTCCCCTCTATCGGACTGGACTGCCTATGGCAGCAATGGGTCTATTTTCTGTTTTCTTTCCAGCAATTCCCTCTCCTGGGGTTGGGATAGATTGGGCGATAAGGTCTCTTCCTTCTGCAACATTGTCCCTGACCATCTTATCTTCATATCTTTTCCTTACCCTGCCCTCTGCTGGCTGGCATGGGTTTCGCGACACCCTTTTCTGCTCCAAGTCGCTCTCTTGTTACTTGTTCTATCTCATTTGTTCGCCTCGACCCACATGTTGCTCTTTCCCCTTACTAGACAGAGCCGAGGAGAGAGTATTTCCTTCATGGAGCAGTTCTCTGAGAACCCCAGGAGTTACAAGAACAGGCCCGTTAATAATAAGATGAGAATAACGAATATCTAAGTAACAAATAGTTTGCATTACTATATAGTCTTTCCTCCGGAAGGATACAAAGGGCCTTAAAACTGGCAACTATCTCTTTAGCTACCACTTAACCTCTCTGGGCTGAGTTCAGACATGATGTAATATGAAGGGCTGCAAATCCACTGTCCTCAATGGACCCCAGACCTGAATTTGGCCCTGCCTGTAGGATACTTACCTGGATCACTAGGGGGTTGAGAGGGTTGATCAGTTAGTGTTTGCAAAATGCTTTGGGCTAAGTGCCATTTGATTATCTCATTAGCTCACTCACCAATGCAGCCCGAAGCTCCACGCGTCACTGTCTTTCTCTTCCCCCTTTCTGTTGCCCAGCTCCTTTTTGCCCCTTTCTCCTTTTCGCTATCCCTCCCGTCAGTGATGCTTTCTCTCTCTCGCTCTCAGCCCCTTTTCTGTTCTCTATTTCCCTCCTTCACCCTTCTCCCCTCCCAGTCCTCTCTGTCTTCATTCCCCTCTCCTGGGCTCAGCCCTACCGCCTCCCCTCGTGCTATGGTCACTACTGCCTGCAGGCTCAGCCTTTCCCATGTCACAGGGATGAGCTGTAGGCCAGGTGCCCAGGGATGTTAGTGGCCTGGCTCCCATTAATGTCAAGGGAGCAACAGGAAATTCCCTGCACATTACACTGCAAGGCGCCCCAGTGAACTCAAGGAAGGAAAATCAAAGGTCAGGGCCACGTGCTGGGATAACCATGTGGCTGGTTTGGCAGATGGGCTGGTTGTGGTTTGGCCTCGCTGGGCAGCAGAGGGCGCCACAGGATCATGCATCCTGCCAGGTCTGGCAGAAGGAGGGTGGAGCAGCATGTCTGGACTGAAGTCTCCCAGCATCCTGCAGGGGATGGAGTGGGGTCAGCACCAGCACGTTCCAGCCGGGGGGGCAATAGGCGCCCGACTATATAAGACAATGCCCTGAATATTGGGACTGTCCCTATAAAACAGGGACATCTGGTCACCCTATATCTGGGGCAGGTCTAAGTGCTGATATGTTCACTCAGGTAACATCCCTGCATGGACCCAAGCTGCCATTGGGAGCAGTGCAGGGGCATTGGGGGACTGGCTGTGCTGGCAGGATATGGCCGATGCTGCTGCCTGGTGTTTCATTTGGCTGCCTCCTCTTTTAGAAAGATCCCAGGGGCTGAAAGAGCCTGAAGGGAGCTGCTGTGCTGAACTGCCCCTGACCTGTTCTGTGCCTCCAGCATGAATTCCCCGTAGGAGGGCTCCGGGGAGATGCGGCTGGCCCCAGGATAGAGACGGTAAAGTTAAAAGGTGCTTGGAGCTGGGGACAGGGCTGAACCGCGCCTTCTCCTCCTTGCCATGAGGCCTGCACTGGTGGGAGAGGAGGATTCTTAGGACCCAGGGGGAGCTTTGGAAAAGGCATCTCCTGCATTCATTTCAAGGAGTTCCTCCCTTCACTGGTCAGGACTTCTCAGGTGTCCTGGTAACCACCGCTCTCAGCTCCCTCCTCGGCTCTCAGGCAGCTGCTTGCCTGGAACTCCTACCCGCACCAATGCCCATCCTTTGAGATACCCCTGCCTGCCTCCCTCCCCCGATGAGCTGGCCAGGGGACTGCTTAGCATCATGAATGACCAGTACCACCGAGCAGCCCGAGATGGCTACCTGGACCTGCTAAAGGAAGCCACCAGGAAGGACCTAAACTCGCCCGACGAGGATGGCATGACCCCGACCCTCTGGGCTGCTTATCACGGCAACTTGGAGGCGCTGAGGCTGATAGTTAGCAGAGGGTAAGTGCTGCTTTCTGCCCTGATCCCTTCCTAGCCTCGATGGAGCGGCTCAGTGAAAACCCATCTTCCTCCCCCTCACAGATCAGGAGATCAACACGGCCTCCATCCTTTGCCCTGCACAGAGGCTGCCATTTCTTTCCTCCTGCTCCCCGGCGCTATTTCCTTTCCTGCTAGAATGTGCAGTGAGTCTGTCTGAGCCAATCCGTGGTGCGTCTAATCCGCCCATCACCGTAGTATCCAGGCAGCTGGGCAGTGAGAGATTGATAACGCTGGCTAACCTCAAAAGTAGCGTGAGCAGGGGTTGAGCAAGCGTCACTCATTCAGCTCTGTTGGTACCTGTCATTCCAGGCTTGGAACATCCCCGTTAGCCCAGTGCTCAGCCCCCATACAGCTCTGCTAACATGCTTCCAAACCTACAACCCCACTGCTGTTCTGCTACGCTCCCATCTCTCCCAATGCACCTTGAACCTGCTTTGCAAACACCCTTGCTAGTCTAGTACTATGTCCGACCTGGGCAGCGTTGCCAACCCATCTCTGTGAAGTGCACTGAGCTCCTCGGATGAAAGGTGCCGTGTATTAGTGCAAAGTAATTATAGCTGCATTTCTCCTGTGATATGATCTGGGCTGGGTCTCAGCTCTCCAGAGGTCAAAGGCTGATGTTTTACCGCTGCCTTCATAATACTGGTTTGATGCTGAACCTGTGATGGTGCAGCCTGAGGGTGTTGTTATAATGGTTTGCCTGTTCCTCGGGGCTTTTCCTGGGGTTTTCAGGGTCAGTGAGTGGTGGGGTTTCCATCTCTGAGGAGCATGAGTTCTTAGCCATTGTAACCTTTCGGTGGATTCCAGCCACTCTGTGATCCGGGCAACGGTTAGTAGTGATCCCGGCCTGGATTTTCAAAAGCGACTAGTGATTTTGGGTACCTTGGGTGTTCAACAAGAGACACCTTAAAGAGCCTGATTTTCAGAGGGCACAGCACCTTTAAGATGCCTCTTGGGCATCCAAAAATTGAGACACTTAAAATCACTGATCACTTACCCTGTTCAGCATTGTGCTCCATTAAAGTCAATTGGATAAATGTCATTGTCTTCAATAGAGAGACAGGGTGGGTGAGGTAATAGCTTTTATTGGACCGACTTCTGTTAGTGAGAGAGACAAGCTTCTGAGCTCTTCTTCAGGTCTGGGGAAGGCAGAGCTCTCTGTGGCTCCAAAGCTTGTCTCTCTTGCCCACAGAAGTTAATCCAATAGAAGATATGACCTCGCCCACCTCAACTCGCTAATATCCTGGGACTGACACGGCTACAACTCCACTGCATATTGTCTTCAACAGGCATCTGATTGGGACCCTGGTGAACTGGCTTGCAGAAGCTGAAGGGCTGGCTGGTAAAGATGGTACCAGACTCGGGAGAGAAGATTTAGGCTCCAATACGGTTGTGTGACCAATGCGTTTGCCATAGTCTTACCCAGGCTTAAAAATCTCATCAAAGCTTCTGTGTGTGTCACAAATCAGAGAGGCATCCGGCTAGGGGCCGGGGCAGAAATTTCAGGAATGGGCCACTGGGGGGGCTCTGAGCTTTGGCTTTAGCTTGTTTAACACTAAATGGTTAAAGAGGGCCTTTACCGAAGGGCTGAGATTGTCCATTAAAATGAACGCAGTGTGGAGAGAAGGGCAAAGCACGTATTTCATTTTATTTCATTTCCAAGCTGCATCTATTATTGCTTCATTATTGGGCTTGATCCCTGCAGCATCCCCTGCTGTTCAGTTCTGGTGCCCCCCAACCCCCGGTCTGACAGTGCAGCTCACAGCTCACCCGAAAGCTCATTTTCAGCTCCCTCTGCCAGGTCAGCTTCAGATCCCCACAAAGTTCTGCCAAGGCACCCCAGCCTGCCCTGCAGCCTGCCTTGCCCAGGAGACTGAAGGCAGGTTTCCGGCGGAGAAGGGCCCTTTTCTAAATTCTAATTGGAATCGAAGGTCCCAGCTGAAACCCTCTTGTGTAGCTTGGCTGGTGTTTAATTAACAGCATAAAATACATTGGCTGTTGACAGGGGAAATAGCACAGGGAAGGGCCAATGCCCTTTTGGTGATTAATGGTACATGCAGCGCCTTTGTCAGTGGTGCTTAGAATGCGTTTTTATCACTGCCCGGGTCACACTTTGTCAGGGAGGGATGAAATATACCCAGATGCTTAACTAAGCCAGTGCAGAGTTTACAGAAGCTACAGAGGTGGCCTCGTTACACCCTGGAGGCAAGCTGAGGGGCGAGATTAACAAAGCCCTTTCTTCTCTCCCTGCTCCCGAATGCGGCTCTGTCTCCTGAGGTCTGGGGCCTGCTGCTGCTCCTATGGTAGCAGGGAGGGCTGCTGCTCAGATGCTGGGATGGGAGAGAGTGGAGGACATGCAGAACAACCAATCAGAGCTAGGGAGAGACAGAGGCATGGGTAGTGCGTGAGCCCCCTCTTCGGGGGGGCTAGCCATGCGGCCCTGCCCCTACCGCCCCCTCGTCCACCAGAGCCCCGAGCCCCCACTCCTTTCCCCCGTGGCCAGATGAGCCCAGCACCGGGCCATCAGCCAACCCCAGTGCCAGGCCACCGGCCACCCTCAGTGCTGGCCTCAACACTGGGTTGCCTGCTGGCCTCTGGCTGGAGCTGAGCTCCCGCCTCCCACCAGCTTGGCGGAGTGTGGGCGGGGCCAGGGCTTGGCTTAGGGGAGGCTTAGCCTCCCCTGACCTATTATATCTGCCGCCCCTGGACAGAGGGTACATCTACACTGCAATAAAAGACCCACCGCATGGCCGCGACTGGCCAGGGTCAGCTGGGACTTGGACATGTGGGGCTATAAAACTGCAGTGTAGACGTTCGGGCTCAGGCTGGAGCCCAGGCTCTGAGATTCTGCAAGGGGCGAGGGCCAGCTGCGGGTCTTTAATGACAGTGTAGCCATACCCAGAGAGACAGTAGTTGCCAGAGAGAGGGATTCACTCATCAGCAACTGGGCTGTTGGAAAGAGGAGAGTTCCAAACACGGAGGCCAAATGCAGCTGTCAGTTATGTCAGTGGAAGGCCACTGTCTCCAATGGGATTCCTCCTGTGGAGCTGGCAGCAGGATCTGGGCCATGCCCTTTTTTATAAGAGGATTGGGGAATATTCGATTGAGTCTTCTTTCCTTCTGTACCCTCCCTCACCCTCAGGTGCAGAGGGTGTCCAGCATTTATTTCGGTCTCGTGCTGGTCTGTTCAGACGTTTGGGCGTCAGGTTGATGGATTTGACTTCTTTCTCTATTGTCTCTAGATTGCTCCTTTTTTTCTCTTCCCAGGTAGTGTCCATATTATCACCTGATGTGGAAAACGTATTGGTGGCATCTTTAAAGCATGTCCTAAATATGTCCATCGTTGTCGTCTTCCCAAGTTTGATGCCTTAGATTGGTGTGCTCTACTTAGAGTTTCTGATGTTGCAAGAAACTCTTTGCAATGAACTCAGAAGATCTTTCGCAGGCATTTACTTTGGAATGAGTTGATCCTCTTGTCAATTTCTGTGATAGATTTCCATGACTCTGCTCCATGAAAGGGGATGACATGATGCCAGCGTTTAAAAATGTGTATTTTTGTGTCAGCGCCAATCCTGCTACTTTTGCCATTTTTTTTCAACTTGTGAAAGTTGTTTGCTGCTTTCCATAATTGTTGCTTGACATCTAGCATGGTGCCATCATCACTGCACATCTCACGCCCTGGATAGGTAAAATGACTTACTTCTGTTAGTGCTTCTCTGTCTATTGTGATGGTTGCTTCTGGGATATTGCTAGCCATGTATTTTGTTTTCCCCTGGTCGATGAACAAACTAGCTTGTTCTGCTGTATCTGCCAAAAGCTGGAACTTTTCTTTCATTAAGCAATGTTTTGAACGAAGCAAGACAATGTCATCCGCAAAAGCAAGATCATCCCATTGTGCTTTATCATTGGTCCATAAAATTCCTCGGTTGCCCTCCATGGTTACTTTCCTCCTGACATAGTCAGTGACCAGTGCAAAGTGGGGACATAATACACCCTTGCCTTACTCCAGTTGTCACTGCAAACCATTGGCTGATGCTGTCACCATCTTTAACTGCACATGTGAAATTCTGATATAGATCCTTAATGATTCTAATCATTTTTGCTGGTATTCTATGGTATACCATAATTTTCCAAAGGCTTTTCTGTATAGGCTGTCAAAACCCTTTTGGAAAAATCTATAAAATATATCACAGGAGGTTCTTGCCATGCTGCACTTAGTTCTATAATCTGTTTGAGAATAACCATATGGTCTGTACATGAATTTAGTGGACTAAAACCTGCTTGTTCCTCTCTACATTGGAGATCTAATTGTTTCTTGATATGTTCCAGGATGATGTTGCACATTATTTCCCTAGGCACTGAGACAATGTGATTCCTCTCTACTTATTGCAGTGGGTCACCTTTCTCTGGCTTTTTTAATATAAGGCCTCTCTTCTACTGGGTGGGGTTCTTTCCTTCACTCCATATTCTCAAGGGAAGTCTGAGGGCTGTTTCCTCACTTGCTTTTAGCATCTCTCCAATAATGTTACCCTCTCCAGCCGCTTTCCTATTTTTAAGTTTCCTGATGGCTTTTCTAACTTCTTTCTATTGTAAATATCTCCTCAATCAACATCAATCTCTGGTGGTAGGTCTTTGTAGTAGTTCAGTTGGGCTTGGTCTATTTAAAACAGCCCTCTTGAGTAACTCCCATTAATTCTCTCCCTCGCCCCCGGTCATGGCAAAGAGAATGGACCCTGAGATTCAGACTAAGGGCTCAAAGAATGCTGTCAGTCCAAGTGGATTTCACCCATGAATTGACTCTTTAGTTCAGGACACAGTCCCATCTCTGACGTTGTTGGCAACCTATCCCGTATAGCCTAAGTCTCTTAGAGGGGCTGCAGTGTGTGTGGTGCAGGGGCTCCCTATGTGGTCACTTGCCATCCCATCTCCAGCCTTTTGGCATGTCCCTGAACCAGGCTAAC